CAGAAAGTCTACTTCACTGCAAAACTACCCTGTCACCTGCCTCGGGTCAGATGGCAACTCAGAAACCTACCTGTGATAAGGAGTACTTGGCTCATCTATTTTCATCAAGCCATAATCTTTGCCCGCTGGGTGGTACGTAGCTATGATGTTCATTTCGTCCCACTTCTGAGATTTTTTACTGAAACAAGAAAGCAAAGTGGTTTTATTTTAATCCCCTAAAACCAGTTCATTCTGTTTGGCCACAGAAAATGAAAGCTAAGAATGGCTTTTGCCCTCAACTCTACACTATGGAAAAAAAGCATTGTTGAGGCACAGGGGCACGTTCGAAGTATAAAGGTGGATATTAAGCACCACCTCATACACACTTCTGTTGGGTCGTGACAAATTACCATTGTGACTTACCTTTCCCTAACAAGTCATAGTATTTAAATGAACCAGTGCTCACAAATACGTTCGTATACCTGTGCATATCTTCAAGAGACTACCAGTCATGTCCACTACTGCCCCATTAACCAGCTGCTCGTTACAAGTTAATGCAACAATCATTCTTCCTGTCATTACAGCCCACAACACTCGATGCAAAGAAATAACCAACTTCCACTTCAGCACAGCTCGGTGAGCTGCCAGGACTGTTTGCAGAACCGCTGCACAAACAATAGGAACCAACAGATAACTTCCTGCAGTAAAACTAATTGGACTGAACAAGGTTGTTATTAAGACTGCTTTTCTCATCTTAAATTGGAATCATAAAACAGAACTGACTCACTGCTGTAACTAAGCAAAGGGAGTTTCGTGCTTTATACAACCAGCCACCAACCATGCTGCTTAATTTAGAATTTCCTCAATTAGTCACAGAATGTATCATTTTATGTATATTTGTAGAAACAAAAGCCTACCCAGACTGACACAACATGGAAGCCACAAGGGAAGCAACTGCCTTGTGGAAAAGTCCCCGCTCTGCTGGTCTAGAAGTCACTGAAAGGTTCCCTGGGCAACCTGATCCAGTGCCTGATTTAGTGACTGGCAACCAGCCTGCTGCAGGGTTGGATCTTTGAGGTCCCTCCTAGCCAAAGCCATTCTATGAAAGATTTAGTCAACAGGACCTACCAGGTTCCACATTTTTCCTAAAGCATTAACACAGCCTTCCCAAGAGGTGGCCTTCCCTTAGATTAAACCAAGAAATGTAATCCTAGAACAGCACTAAATTCCACTATAGATTTATTTTCCCTGTAGGGGGACAGTTGGCTGAAAGAATTTAGCTCATGTACTCTTATTTAAGTGCAGATTGCTCCAATAACAAATTACCAAACTTGAAATCTGAACTCAAGTCTCAGTAATACTACTGCTTTTAAGCAGAATGCCATCCGAAAAACAAAATTGACAATGTAAAATTCCAAGGAAAAACCAAGCTTA